AAACAGCAAGTTTCTCAGTGGATCTGTGCTCAAAAATGCAGCCTAGGTGGAGTAGTTGAACACAGATCCACTGATCCTTCAACACAGAGCATCTTCAGAAGACAAGTTGATAAAGTCAATTTTTAAAATCTGTATTGTTCGATACAAGTGTTTATTGAACCTAAAGCACTGTTCGATACGGGTACATGTATTGTTGCACCCCTAATATAAATACATATAAACTTTCTGTGATTCATGCATATAAAGGAGTGGCACAGCACCACTCCTTTATATTGTTTATTTTATTTGCAGAGGCCATGTGACCCTTCCAGTTAAAGCCCTAGATAAAAAGAAAGGCCATTCAGCGACAGCATATTTCATAAGGGTAGATGATTTTAAACGCTGCACCTCAGTCCTTTAAGAATGAAGGCAGTTGGAAACACTTCTGCACAGAGGTGAACTGTCCAGAGGGTGCTCCAATTGGCTTCTGTCAGCACAAAGTGCAGAGCTGCACTGAAGCGACCAGAACACACGCAGACAGGAGTTGTGGCTGAAGGCATGTGTGCAGGGAAAAAAGGAAAGCTCTGATACGCACAAACATATGCACCATGAAAATGTCTCCTAACTCAAACAGTGAAAGAAAGTATTCCCAACCAAGTGGCAGACAGATGAAGCAGGAGTTTAACAAAACATCCACAAGAACAAAATATACAGACAATACTGACGAGAGACATGGAATAAATTAGACTCATACTACAAGATAGGGCAGGGACACAAACGCTCCAGTATCAGTTTAAAATAACTTTTTTTTTGTTTGGAAACCAGTGAAGCTAAAAACAACATTCTAATTTAAAAGGCTTGACTTTCAGAGTCTTGGCTTACACATCTGATTTAAAAACAAGCCCATTGGAAGAATCAAACAATTACATTACAGGCAATTTAAGTTCTGTGCAAATATTTTTTGTCTACATGTATGCAAACACCCTTTTTATTTGTTTTGATTTCTGTGTTTATAGGAGGTTGTGACTGGAGTAGGATCTGTACAGTACTGTTACCCAATTACCCCCCACCCCCCCCACACACACACCCCTAATGAATCACATGAGACAGGACAAGAGGAGGCGACATCAGGGCCACTTCTTCAGCGGGGTGGGTGCGTCTCTGATGACATCATTGTAAGAGGGTGTGGTTGATTTGCCTCACTGCTCATAAGCAGCACTGGTGCCTCGAATCGGACCTGTTTTACGCAGCTGAGTGGTAAGGATCAGAAAAAAACAGAGGGTTAGGCATTGCTTACAGTCAAAACATGAAGATGTCCAAGCAAAGAAACTATGAAATCAGATAAGCAGCTATGATGTTCTAAAAGTGATCATTTGGCGTCATGAAAGATGCTCCTTGAGTCTGGTTAGATCACAGTGGTAACAAACTGATGAGCAGGTTATGGATCCCGAGGCTTTAGTGCCCTATACAGCAAATCAGCAATTTTGCGGTGATGTTAGAAATTTTTATTGTATTTATACATTTACAATATGGTCTCATGATTTATTAAAAAGTAGTGTAAGGAAGTTGTACACTACATCAGTGAGCAGAGGTAAATAATGCTGGCAGCTCATTTTTGTGATTTTCTTTTTTTAAATCAAACTTGGTGAAAATGCCTGAACGATGTGTTCTTTTAATCTTACAAGTTGGAGCATGAATCTGGGAATTAAATAAAGAATAAGTTCACATTTTCTCATTATTTCTTAGCTCAGACAGAGGAGATGAAAGATTTTAATAAAAAATGTCTAAATGGAGGGGTCAAGTGATGTGGCGAGAGTAGGGGCGCATGGGTTGAGCTCCAGAGCTAGCAATGCTTTTTTTGGCCTATTTGAGGCAGATTAACCTCTTAATTGGGCCCATGCCTGCTTTTCTTCACTTCGGAGGCTTTTATATACAGCTGGCACAGTCTAATTTACAAAAGAGGGCATGAAAATGATGCTATAGGTTCTCCTGTTTTGATTGACACCTCTTTTGACCAACTAGGTTGCTCTACGGAGATTCTTCAGGCAGATTTGTTGAGGAAGGTCCATAAGACCCACCCCTGGGCTGCATCATTTGATTGACTTGGATTAACTTTGAATTATCACCCCTTCATTGCATCTTGGGAGCAAAAGTTGACAGTGCAAGGAACACCCAGAACAGTAAAATGATAGGAATGCACCTATATGCTGCAAGGAAGACCATCCTTAATTTCTGGATGCTCCCACATTGAGTGACTGGTATAAGGAGCTTCTGAGAATTTAAAAAATAAAAAAACAATGGAATCAGCTCCTTTTAGCAAATTTGTGGCTCGATATTTTTTTTAACTAACTGCAAAGTTGCTGTTCTGTGTCATTTTTAATATTCCCTCTGTAATAAATCTGTAGATTAATCCTCCAGCTGCTCACTGGCTCTGCGTCGTATCAAAAAACAAAACAAAATCAGCTCATTATAGGTAATAAATGTTTGTTGGTTAGATCCTAGGGTCGCTCACTGATGTCATCAGCTCATTATCATTTTCCGAGTGCTGAACCATGGAGTTGCTTTTTTCACGAGTTGGCCTGCCGGGCTTGGTCCCGGCTCTGATACTACATGTGCTTGTGGCTCAGAGGCACATCAAAGGCAGGCTCATTTTACTGCCCTTTCTGCCTCCATGTTTTTTCTGAATGCTCAGAGGAGGACAGAACCCGCATCAGTCCTGGACTGAGCTGTATAATGAATGAGGCTTATATCTAGTCAGAACCACTCAGCCTCACACACCAGCTCAGGCTCCTTCCCCACCAGAGAGGTGACATCCACATCCCCAGGGCCAGCTTCTGTAACAGAGGATCAGTCCGCCAAGGTCCTCACCTTCATCTCCTGCCTGTTACATATTACACCCAACCCCTTCAGACCCTCCCACACATGGTGAGTCCATGGGAAGGGGGACATTGACATTCTTTGTAATATTAATCCTTTTTCCTTTAATATACATGACTACTAATGAAATACAGAGGAAACATTTAACCAATGAATTAGGGATGTAACAATTAATCGAGAATCAATTCAGAATAGATTATAATTAAAATGAGAATTGAATAATAATAATAATAATAATAATAATAATAATAATAAATCAGTCTTATTGTTGATTGTAACTGCCAGTAAATTGTTTTAAAAAAGCAATTTGCATTGTGTGGATTATTTATAGATGTTTGTTTTTCATGTACAGTGTTGGTTGTTTTATAAATGTTTGTTTTGGTTCAATAGTATTTGTATTTTCAATGTGTTGTTTTGTACCTCATGGGATGCCACAGGAAAGATAGGCTGGCCTTATAAAAGCTGGCGGTATTTAGTTCTGCTGAATGGCTGGAAAGCAACTGACAGCAGGACTTGAAATGTTTGCTGTTAGAGAAACAATGATCTTATGCTTTGCATTCCCCTGGTGAAAGCAGCGAGGTACGTTTTGTTTATTTCATTTGTTTATTAGCCCATGTTCTTATTTTAATGTTTGTATAAATGTTTTAGTTTTCACGGTGATCGTAATGGTGTTTGTGATCTTGGAGACCTTGGTGATCTTGGTGAAAAAGTGATGGTGGTCAAGGAGCACCAGATGAAAATAAAAATGCGTAAAATCACCCGTCGAGGCTGCGCTGAACTTTGTCAAGAACTGGGGGTCTGCTACATTGATTATTATTGTTGAGCGTGTCCTCACTAACACATTTTTACATGCCTACTTTAACCTCTTCAGACACCATGTCCACTAGAATGGATCACATAGCTCTAACTGATTAGCTTAGAGATACACATTCTGTAAATAAATCAAAACACCCCTGAGGGGACTTGTTCCTAGTTTTGTCGTGGCCAGTCACATATGTCAGAGGCTAGGCTTTGTGTATGGGGGGACAATAGCATTGCCACACATCTGCACCAACCTTATCTAGCCTTCCACCAAAGGAATACACATTTATTGAAAATGTAAAGAGGGCTCATTAGCAGGCCATCTTGTGGCAAAAGTCAAACAGTGATAACCTGCCAACCCTAAACCATGAAGACTTTTGTGTGGAAGGACATCCGTAACAAGTCAGACACCAATCTCACTGTTAGATGGTGTAAAACTTACCCCAGACAAAATACAATGAGACTATAACTATACTATGTGCTTATAAAAGCACAAACTCTTGCAGTTCAAAGAGATGTGTAGATAACACTTGCTTGCCATGAACTATTTTCTGTGACTGTTTCACAAGGATGTTCAAAAGTTCAGTAACTGGGGTAAACATTATCATCAAGATAATGACCTCAACTTGCATCAACAATTCAATAAACATTATTACAAGCAAAGTTGCATATAAAACTGATTAGTAAACTATTTTAGGAACAAGGTATTTTGACTCTTGAACGATATTGGTGCCAATAGGAAAGATATTGATTCAAGTATGCTCAAGTGTCACTGCTGACTAGTTACATCCAAAAATAAATTGATGCTTTTTTATAGCCTATCAATACAAAAGGGGTAGAACCTGAAGACAGACCCTCTTGAATGCATACAAAATTACCCTGTTGGTACCTATTGGTTTTGGCTGCCTGGAAAGGGTTAATATTGAACTTTACTGTTTATTTTAAGACTATACGCTGCTGAACATAAAGTTAAATCTAGCAAATGTAATTCTTTTTAGTTGATTATTTGCAACCTGTTGAAGGAAAGACCAATTTTTAACAACTATTGATGTGTCTGATCTTAAAGGGTTGATATCAACAATGCTCAAGGGTTATGCACTGTCACGCTCCTGAATCATAAAAAGCTGTGTACAGGCAGAAGGAGCAGAGAAAAAAACTTAAGCCAACATTTTCAAGTTCACCCATGTGGCTCCTGAACTACTGTGTATCTTACCAAACTGCAACTGTAAGGGCATCTCAAAAACTATCTAGAAATGTTGCCCTCCATTTGTGTCATCTTTAAAAAAAAAAAACACAAACCAATTTTCACTTCAAATAGCTGCATAATTGTTGAAGTCAAGTTGAACCTTTCTACATTTATTACTGTAACTCTGGAACTATATTTTGTGTGATCTTTTCATTTGTTTATTTTTTCTTGTGTATAAAAACGTATGCATTTGTAACTTGACACTGCATTTATTGTTTGCACTTACAAAAACAAAGTGAAAACACAAGCTGTGTTTACATGTGCAAAATTCTTTGATCGGATTGAAATGTATTTGGATTAAACTAGATACTGCATAGCGGTAACATAATGACCCCACATGCACCAACGCTGCTGTGACCACTGAGCTGAGCGTGGCATCACCTCTTCTGCCTGAACCACAGGGACGATTCTAGGATCTGACATTTAGGGGTGCTTAGCCCCCAGCAGAGCTAAGACCCAAGGGAGGAAATTTGTCGATGCAATTTTCTAAATCTCACTGCTTATTTACGTACGTTCACATACGAAATTAAATAGTTTTGACCAACTAAAACAGTTAAAAACTATATGTACCGTATTTTTCGGACTATAAGCCGCGACTTTTTTCCTGAACTTTGAACCATGCGGCTTATAGTCCGGTGAGGCTTATACGTGGATTTTTTTCTTCAGCCACCAGGGGGCTCTTATGCTCCATTTGCTTCAACCACTCACTTCAAAAAAAAGAAGAAAAAAAAAAGAAGAAAAAAACGATCCTTCCAGAGCCAACTGTTGACCAGGAAGCAGCAATTTAAAGATAGTCAGTGGCCAAAAACTCATAAAAGGGGATAAAACAGACATTTTTCACGGTGGAATCTGACTGATAAAAACTTTGGAGCTTAATCCAGGACCAGTTTGTGGATAAACGTCGAGTGAAGAACCGTGGACTTTTTTTTCCCACACTGCACTCCCCGGGGAAGGAATCCCATGCAGTGACGTATGCTGGAGCGGGAGGGCTTTCCCAGCAGCTGGGCT